GAGGTGGGGGAGAGGTGGGGGAGAGATGTGTCTCGCGCCTCGGAGAGCTCGACGTAGACCGTCTCCGCCCAGTCCTTGCGGTACGCGTACCCGCGCACGAAGCAGACGAGCAAGTCGAGCGGGACCTGCTCACAGAGAGAGGGGTGTGAAGAGGACCTCTGCACTCAGAGCCAGGCGAGTCGAGAGCGGCACCGCGTCGAAGCGGGCGGCGCCGAGCCAGCGGCGGACAGTGGCGAGGACCTGCAGCTCCGGCTCGGAGAAGGGGAGCCACTCTTCGCGCGGGACGAAGCCCTTGACCTGCGCCGGAAGGGGGGGGGGGGGTCGGGAAGGGAGGCGTCGGAGCGCGCCGGAGTGCTGCGGCGTGTGCACAAGGGGTGGGAGAGCGGGCGCTAGTCCGCCGAGAGAAGTCCGCCGAGAGGCAGTCACGAGGCCGGAGCATGCTCCTCGGCACGGGGGGAGGGAGGAGCGGGTGTATCGGTTGTACATAGTGCCTTCTCTTCGGCGAGGAGGTCGCTTCGCTTCGGCGGCTCCGTCGGATCGCGCGTGGCCTGGACGCCGCTCAACCGCCGCCGCCCCTTCTTCCCTCCGCCGCTGCTGCTGCTGTGCGCTGTGCTCTTGTCTCCGGCCACGCGCCTCGACTGCCGGTCCGACCCCTTGTGCTGCGACGCGCGGCACGAGGGCGACACCTCGCTTCGCCGCGCGCCGGGCGGCGACTCCCTCTCCGACTCGGACCGAGTGCTCAGCAGCTGCTCCTCCCTCGGAGGCAGGACGAGGACCGGCTCGCCCGTTCCTTCGCAGGGAGCAGCCGCTGGCGCGGCCGGCGGCGGGGCAGTCTCTGCTGGAAGATCCCGCTCGGCTGCAGCGGCGTCCGTGGCGGCGCCCGAGTCGCGCTTCGAGCACCGATCCAAGCAGGGCGCGGGCGTCGCGAACCCTGGTATGCAGTTCAGGGCGCGGAAGCTCTGCAACCATTCCAGGACCGTCGGCGGCTCGGGCGGCGGCTCAGGCGCAGCAGCGCATGCAGGCTCGGGCGCGGCTGCCGCTGGCACCATCCCGCGCGCCGTCATCACGTCGGTCGCGGGCTCCGCAGCCTCTGCCGCGGAAGCGCTGGACGCAGTCTCTCCGTGGCCCTCGGCGCTCTCGACGTCTGGCTGCGCCTCGTGCACCGTCTCGTGCTCCGACGGCACCGGCTCAGCCGGGGAGGCTATGGCGGTGGATAGCGGCGGCGAGGGCGTCGGTGTGTCGTCGGGCGACCCCTCCTGCCGGGACGAGCAGCTGCACGCAGCGCCCATGCTAGGAGCCAGCGAGCGCCAGCAAGGTGGACAAATCTGCTGGTCCGCGGCGTTCCGGCGGGGGGGTGCACAGGCACAGGCGGGACCACTTTGTGAAGTCTGGACCGCGTGTTGTCAGCTTGTCACACAGGGTAACGCCCACTCCGCCCTCCGCCCGCCCGTCCACTCTACTCGCATGCGCTGTCGGCGCCGAGTCCCGAGAGGTCGACCGCCGCTCAGAGGGCAAACCCACGGGGCGAGTGGACTGCTTCAAGGCCGTCGGCACCTTCTTTGGCGACCCTGAAGCCTGCAAGAAGGAGCTCACCGCGCACCTCAGGAAGAAGCTCGCGCCGCTCGACGTCATCGACACGATCGTCGACACTGACTGCGTCACGAACACCTCGCAGCTCCGCCTCAACCTCGTCCAACGGATCGCCTGCGCAAAGACCAAGTACATTGCCGGCATCACGCCGCCCAATGTCGCGTGCGAGGCTCTCGAGTTTGCGCACAACCGCATCCGCAAGTCCTTTGAGAGCATTGCTCGCGCCGACGCCTCGCCCCAGGCGCTCCGCGACCTCGCGTGCCTACTGTCTGAATACGTTTTCCACGTATTCCAAATGACCTCCCAGAGGCCTGTATTCCACCCGTATTCCACCCGTATTCCACGTATTCCATGGAATACGCCGTATTCCAAGCTCCAAAAATGGACGTATTCCGTATAAAATTTTCTTCGCTCCGCGAATTCAGACAGTAGGCTCGCGTGGCTCCAGGCACAGCTGCCGACCGAGATGGGCGGGTGCAACATCGATACCGCCTTCTCGCGCGCCGACAGCGACTTCTCCATGTCGCTCCTCAAGAACTGGCGCACCCTCGTCGCCCACAACCCCGACTTCGCCCACGACGAGGGAGGTGCATCCAAGTACCCCGCCATCGCCGCAGCTATCGCCACCTACGAGTCCGCCCTCTCGGACTGGAAGGAGGTGTGCGAGAAGCGCGCCGCCCGCGACAAAAACAAGTACTACACCGTCCGCGGCGGCTACCTGACTGAGTTCTACCCCAAGAGCGTCCCGCTCCCCGAGCCCGAGTCCCTTCCAGCTACCGACGCGATTCTCAATGGCACTTGCAAATCCACGCACCCGCGGCCGCGGGCGCTCGCTGCCATCAAGAATCACAAGGACTGGTACGCGCACCAGGAGCTCGTCAAGGCGCGGGATGTGCACGTCAAGAACAACCCGTCCCTCGGAGACAGCGCCGTCAACAACCGCGAAGCCGCGCGCTTCGTCTCCGCCTCAACGCCTTTCGCCGGCAAGGCCTTCGATGTCCGTGTCGACGGTACGTACGCCACCGCCCTCTCCTCCGACACCCTCCAGGACGAGCTCCAGCGAAAGCTCGGCCTTTGGCTCTCCGCGGCGCTTCCCACCCTTCGGGTCGCGCTCGAGCGGGGCATGCCAGTCGATTTCTTCGGCGACTACCTTTACAACAAGGCCCCGCCACCGGCGGCCCCACGACGGCGTCCTCGCCGCCTGGGCGGACGCGATGCGCGCCCCGGCCAACGCGCCGGTCGTGCACGGCGACAAGGAGAAACCAGAGCTCACCCGGCAGTACAACGAGGGGTACAAGACTGACCTCGCAGAACCCCATGCGGGACCAGGAGGGTGCGATGACGTGAATGAAATCAAGCTCTGGACGCCCCTCCTCAAGACCTCCTCGCCGGGCGTTGGCAACGCCTCGAGTGGCGGCACGCCCGCCTCCGTTGGCCACTCCTACGCCTTTGGTAACACCGAAGAGAAGGCCCGCCGCCTAAACATGGGCTGCAAGGCGCGCGGGCAGCCCGGCCAACCCTTCTCCCACAAGACCGGCCACGGCTACGTCAAGGCGCATCGCGGTTTCTACCACGACGCGATCTTTGTCAAGCGCAACAACTTCAACCTGCTGCTCCACGAGACGTTCGGCGGCGGCTTCTCGCCCACCGCCGTTCACAAGCTGCGCCGCCTCGCGCGCAAAGTCGCGCGCGGCAGCGTCGACCGCACGGCCTACTCGCCCAAGTACTCGCTCTCTTTTATGTCCCACCATGCAGAGCGCATCTCTCTCTCTGTTGTGCGAGGCGTGAACCGCGCCATTCGCTCTCACCTGGCAACCCTGTCTGCACGTCTCGCGCGCGCGTGAACAGGGCTCCAGGCCCCAAATGACGTGTGAGTGTTAGATTTGTTTGGTATTGCTAAAAATCTCTCTCTCTCCCTCCCTCGTGAGTCGTGTGCCACGATAGGGACGACGAACGACCGACCTTCGCGCGACGCCTCTTGAGCTGGTGCGCGTCGCGCTTGGCCGCCGCCGCCCGCTGCCGCCGGCCGCTGATCGCCGCCGCCCACTGCCGCCTCCTCTCACAATCCCACACCGCGCCCCGCCCTCAGAGTGTGTCTCCGTCTCCGCCCCACGCCCCACTCGCTCGCCTCGGTCTCCAGAGGCGCGTCCCCACCCCCGCTCCACCCCGCTCGCCGCTCAAAGACGCGTGTCGCGGTCGGCGCCCGTCGCCGCGCGCGCCGCGCCACTCCCCGCCCCCTCCCCCGCCCTCCCCCGTTCGGCCCGTTACACACCCCGGATCCGCAGCCAGAGCATGTCGGCGACCGGGAGCTCGTCCGTTGTGCCACGTGTTCGCGCTGAGTGTGGGCCTCGATGCCGACTCTAACATTTTCAGTGTATGTAGCTCTTACGAACCCGGAGGCCGGAGGTGGATTTTGCGACATATCTAAAAGATTTTATTTTTTATCTAGACGCGCGCTCGCTCAGCTTTTTTGTTTTTTATGCCCCCCCGCTCTCTGTCTCTCTGCTCTCACTGACATCCGGTGCCAGCCAGCCAGGCTGCCTCCGCCTCCGCCTTTCGGTTTGGGGCAAGCGGCGGAGTAGAGAAAACAACGACTCGACGTCTACTGTATGGAGAGAGATCTCCGTTCGCAGGCTCCGGCGGCGCGCACCCCGCACTGCCCCGCCTGGGACAGAGCGCGGACGAGGCCCGCGCCACACCCGCCATCAAACCCGCGAACCAAAGCTGGACAGCCGCCGCCCGGCCTCTGCACCTCCAGGGCCTCATTGCCGGGGACGGCGCCTCGAGGAGCGCCGCAGCCGAATGCCACGGCTCGCCCCTCCCGACTCACGAGGGGGCGGGCCCGAGGCAGGCACTCGCACACACACGTCATCACGCCCCGCCCGACCGACCGCCCAGCCCCCGCACGCCACCATGTGCGTCTACGCTCCCCCCTCCCCCTCTCCCCTCCGCCCCCTCCCCGCCCTGCCGCACGGAGGTCTCGCCGCCGCCCCGGGAGGCTGTCGGCGAGGCGTCCCCCTCCCGCAGGCGGCCCCTCCCTCGTGCGGGCGGCCTCTCCCGCCGGCCGCCTCGCGCCTGCCAAGCCCCTCGCCCCGCCAGAGAGCGCGACTCACCAGCGGATCTTGACCCACGCCCAGTCGGAGACCGAAGCCCCCCCCGACATGACTGCCTCCATCTCATCTTCGCTCATCGGCGCCCGCCGGAAGCGCGCCGGGAGCTCGTCGACGCTCACTCCGACAGGAGGAGCGCCCATTTTCGGCGCACCGGCGGGCGCGGCAGCGGCCGCAGGTCCACCCTGCGAGCGGAAGCGGATCAGGGACGGCGCGCCGCCCGGGTGGATCCGGCCCCCCGCCGGCGCTGGAGGCGGCGGTGCAGGCGCAGCTGCCGCGGCGGGAGGCGCCGCCGGCGCGGCAGCCGCCGGCGCGGGGGGCGGTGCGGCGCCAGGTGC